GCTTTGCTAAGTTTTAGTAGTTAGTGTCTGTGAGTGAAGACTTTCAGACTCTCTCATTATGCTGTTAACACCAATTTAAAACCTGCAGTAATCTTCAGTGGTATAATTTATTTTTCAGGAATCCACAGATGTGCTGCTGAGTTTTATATTGTTTAACTTTATGAACGCTACCTGTAATAACAGTTTTGATCCAGCAGAGGGTGGAAAAAAAATCCTTACTCACCAAGTGCAACAGGGAGGTGTTTCCCATTAGGTCTTGTGCATTTCAGAAACACGCCAGCAGTCAAATGTGTGATGGTTTAAGGCTGCAGTCTGCCAGAAATCCTGAAGGAGAATGTCTGACCTTTGACCTTAAGCAGGCTGGACAAAGTAAATGTATAGTTTGTTTTGAAAACCTACTTATTTTAGGCAAGAATAAACACCAATAAATCGACAGAAAACATAAAAATATTCCGTCTTTTAGTTATTTTTAAAACACAGAGAGGTTTTATTTACCTGCAACGTTTTGTTTGCGGCTGCAAACTTCGAAGATGGAATTAGAATTTCAACACAGCAAGAACACACCAAAGATACATAAAAATATGATGTTATTTAACCTGTACTTCTCAGCCATTCAAACAAATAGAAAATAAAACAGTAGCAGCCATTCTGGAATGTGCAGCTCATTAAAATATCTATAAATTCCCTTCAGTTTGTTTAATTCCCCAAATCTAAGCCCACCAGCAGGTACATCCATCGCATTAGTCAACACTAAAAACACCACAGATATACTGCAAGTCCAAGTCCCCCAACACTGGAGAAGCTCGCCTTTGATATATTACAACACTCTCAATACAGTGGTGTGAAAAACTATTTGCCCCCTTCCTGATTTCTTATTCTTTTGCATGTTTGTCACACAAAATGTTTCTGATCATCAAACACATTTAACCATTAGTCAAAGATAACACAAGTAAACACAAAATGCAGTTTTGAAATTATGGTTTTTATTATTTAGGGAGAGAACAAAATCCAAACCTACATTGCCCTGTGTAATTGCCCCCTGAACCTAATAACTGGTTGGGCCTCCCTTAGCAGCAATAACTGCAATCAAGTGTTTGCGATAACTTGCTACGAGTCTTTTACAGCGCTCTGGAGGAATTTTAGCCCACTCATCTTTGCAGAATTGTTGTAATTCAGCTTTATTTGAGGGTTTTCTAGCATGAACCACCTTTTTAAGGTCATGCCATAGCATCTCAATAGGATTCAGGTCAGGACTTTGACTAGGCCCCTCCAAAGGCTTCATTTTGTTGTTCTTCAGCCATTCAGAGGTGGATTGGCAGGTGTGTTTTGGGTCATTGTCCTGCTGCAGCACCCAAGATCGCTTCAGCTTTAGTTGACGAACAGATGGCCGGACATTCTCCTTCAGGATGTTTTGGTAGACAGTAGAATTCATCGTTCCATTTATCACAGCAAGATTAGTGGAGAAAAGTTTGAAAAAGTGGCCGGTGACTGCGGCTAAGCCAAGCACAGGCGCCATCTTGTTACCGACCGGAGAGTCAGCCGTCAGCAGTGACGGACGTAGGAGGAACGCTACTCAACACTGTGCGCCCTCACGGACAATGGAGGAACATGTTGCTCCCAATACTGCCCCCAGGCTTCACTTCGTTCAAAGGAGCCAGTCTTTTGAATGGCTCTTTGAACGACTCTTTTAAACGAACGACTAAAGAACGGTTCCCATGAAAGAGCCATAAATCCCATCACTAGTGATAATAGTATCGCAGCTGTTGAACCAGGTAGCTAAAAGCTAGTGATGTGCTGGTCGCGAACGAACCGGCTCTATGAGCCGGCTCTATGAAGTGAACGACGGGAGCCGGCTCGTCATTGGAACTGAATGGAATTGAATGAAAATATAAAGTTTAGGCATATTACCATATAAGCACTTCAACATGTGTTTAAAATGAAAGATGGTTTCATTTCCCGTTTCTGTTTGCTGTCATGTCAGTTTTCTAAATGTTACCTTTTCTAACCATTTTATTCATTTAGATTTTTAAACCCTCAAAATATTCATTGCACTGTAGGCAGGGCCGTTGCTAGCTATTTTGGTGCCCTAAGCACAAAGTCTTCGTGGTCCCCCCCCCCCCCCCCCCACACACACACACACAGAAAAAGCAACACAATCACTGGCATGTGACATGACTAAATTCAAAACTATTTAACCTTTATTAATAACTAGAGAGACACAATATACACATTTTATACACAACTGGAACATTTGAATATGAAGGGAGGAGGTTATCATAATGGACTTTTTTCTTCAAATTATACCATCAGCAGCTGATGTTCCTCTTGGCCCGTAAATGTTTATGAAATATATATATATATTAACATGGAGTAAATACCTAATTAGAAAATAGGTTTGTCTAATTTTTCATATTAAATCTCAGTTACATAGCCTATAGGCCACATGGGATATTTAATAATGATATAAATCATGTCCATAGTTAACTCATGATTAATCACAAACAGCCGCTTATTTAAAAATAAAATTTCTTACTTTACCTTGATGGTGTTTTTGTCCTTCCTGTTTTTGTGATATTTAGGTATTTGGGTGGACAAATATGATTCATTTCTTTATTTCTGTTTCAAAACAGCACAGATGGGCCTGTCTGACCTCACAGAGGAAACTTTATTTTACTTGAGAAAGATGTTTTAAGATGAACTTATTAAAACAAAAAAAAAATCTTCAAACTCTTCGAGGTTTATTTTTAGATGAACAACCTTTGACACTGTTCAGACTTATTTGTTGATACAAGTCACATGAACAGGCTGAATAAAAGGATTTTTCCCTTTGTTGCATTTAACTATTTCTTCTTTATAGAAGTGCTGATTCAGAAGAGAATAACTGCATTTAGAAAGATGATGACTTGCTACGTTTTTTCTCCAGCAGTAAAAAAGCTCTAAAGCTTCTCTGAGTTTCTCTCCCTCTCAGCCTCTCTCACTCAGCTACTGATGAATGCCAAGTAGGCAGGGCCAGAGTAACACTTTGTTGTGCCCTGGGCAACAATATTCAAGGGCCCCATCATCATGACCCAAGGATCACCATAATGTGGTCACATACAGAATATTTTACTGTAATATGCAGTAAATATACTCAATACTTGAATGCCTGACATCACGTAACCCGCTCAGGGTAACCTTTGACCCACCTCGTGTGGACTGACCAATGAGGAGAGGGTCTTAACTTGAGGCCCTCTCTTCATTGGTCAGTCTGCATGAGACTGACTCTCAACTGACGTTCAGTCATAGGCAGCGAAGCGTCTCTGTGCAGCGCAAAAGCCCGGGTGGGCAGTTTGTTTAATATAGGGTGACCATATTTCCATTTCCAAACAAGAGGACAGGGGATCTGTGCCTATGACATCACACTATGGCAACACCACACAAACCACGTTGGGACCCATTTTTTTGTAAGAACTAAATTAATATCAGATTCTGCCAATAAAAGGGCTCTAAAACAATTCATATGTAAATATTTAGCATATTTATTGCAAAATCTCATTTTTCTGCTTTAGTGCTGCAACAAGGTTTTATTAATAATAAATTATTATACCTTTTGTTTTACTACAGCATCGGTACGCTTCCTGTGCACAGATTATTAACGATGCTTGTTTCAGCTGTGAGATTAGACGATAGGATCAATGAAAAAATAAGTTGTCGCACACTCCATGGAAACTTTCAGAGAATCCACAAATAGTGGCTTTCAAATGGTTTTGTTACTTTTTGCAAGTTTAGAAAAGCAGCAGATGAGACAGCATGTCTGATAATTTAGTTCTTCATCTGATAATATTAGAACATGTCAGCGATGTTTGAGGAGCTTTTATAAACACTGTATAACTAATACTACTTGAGAGGGTATGAATTACACAGAGGCTTCTGGGGAGCCCAGTTTTGGGGTGGTGGGTGGTGGTGGTGTGTGTGTGTGTGTGTGTGTGTGTGGGGGGGGGGGTCATTTTGCCTTGGCCCCCAAAATGCCTTGAAACGGCCCTGGGTGTGTGACTGAGTGTTGAAGGTGATCTGAATTGTATCAGATGTATAAATATGACATGTGTATAACTTATTGTTTTATACTGGTAAAAACGTGTAGTGGAGATAAATCTACCTACATTTTACTTTTCAACACTTAGTTTTGTTTTCTTGTTTTTATTTAACTATTTCCTGTCCTGTCTGTCTCTCATCTTCCTGCATCTCCTCTAAACTCTCCAGAAAATCTGCTGCCTGGATTCTTACTTTTTCACCTCATCAGTTACTTTTGAGCAGATCAAAGGGATCTCCTGACCACAAAGCGGAGAGCGCGTTTCGATGCTGCGTCAGTGAGGTGAAATCACCGCAGCACAGGTGATGAGCTCCAGTAGCAGAGCACTACAGGCACAAATAAGACAGAAAGTAGAGAACATGTGCGGACATGAACGATCGTGGGTTAATTATAGTTTTTTGGTTGCGCCACTTTGAGAATGGACCGTGCGCTGGACGCAGCAGCCTGGAGCGCTGCGCAATAACGCGCTGTGCCGCTCTCTGTGCTCTCTGCTCAAAAGAGTCCATAAATGATGTAATATAGGTAGAAAACGTTTTTCCAGCTCCCCTGGATGTGTAGGCTATCCAGCTCCCCCATAATTCGATCCATGCTCCTGGATGAAAAGCCGGACATTTTCATCAGACCCCCAGTCCGGACGCCCGGACAGAGTGAAAAGTGGACACAGTCCATCTCCTTTCCTTTTTGTATTGTTTTCTCTCTGTAAACATGTTGTTAACTTGCTTTGCACATATTCTAACTGAAATCTGTCTTTATCATATATATATTATTTTTTTCATAAGCTTGCATTTGGTTCCCCTCCCCCGGCGTGGTGCCCTACGCGCTATGCGTGGTGTGCGTGTGCGGAGCACCGGCGCTGACTTTAGGTCCTTATATATATTATCGTTTCGAGAGAAGTTATTTTGTAGACTTTATGGTTCGAAGCATTTATTTTGTGAACAACCCGGATGTGATTTCCCTATAACGTAGTTTTATTGTGACGTAATATCCGCCTTTATGGTTTCTGCCGTTTTTCCATATTGTATACGCACTGACAGACGCAAGGCGACCTGTTCCTTTTGAAGGTAAAACATATTGTTAAATGCTTTGCTAATTACTTGAATTTCTTTATCTAAAGATAAAATTCCAGTTCTTTTATTATTTTCTTTACTCTTGATTTTTTTTAAACCTGTCAACGGTCTTGGTTCGGCTAACGTTAGCTAGTCGACTTAGCTTGCTAACGTGACGTAAATTCACAAGGTTCGTGATTGCTAACCTACCTTTGTATACCCATCTTAATTGCTTGGCTTGTGAGAATTATCTGATCAAACTTGATCGAATAAAAAACCGTAACGGGTTGTTTGCACGTATCACAATGGGGAGAAAAGTAGGTGTGTTCTTTTGTTACCTTTCTGTTAGCTTAGCAATCGAGATCATGTGTTAGTTTTTTTCAGCCTTAGCGCAAATTTAAACCATATAGTGGAGTGAAAGAGTCAAATTTTGTGATTCTTGCTTCGTGTTGACGCACAAACTAATATCATTAAATGTTGATCATTAAAACAATGGAAGAGGTCATTGGGTGTTTACATGAGATCACATTGGCATAGCTTATATGAGACCCACCTGAACACCTGTGTTTATTCTGCTTTCGTTTATTGTTTAGAGTCTGTGCTTTGGTGTTATTTCTCCTTTCAAACGAATCCGTTCTTTACTCCCTCAAGATTCAGAGTCTTTCACACCAACAGCCATGGCCAGTCAAGCAACTGATATAATTGCAAAGGTTTTGGAACAAACCAAATTAGTAGAAGAACAAGTGGATGCTCAGCTGAGCCAGCTGAATGAGATGGATGAAGATGAATTGGAGAGACTGAAGGAAAGACGATTAGAGGAACTTAAAAAAGCGCAGAAACAAAAGCAGGTAAGTGGGAGGATGCCTCAAAAACCAGTTTAATGTATTATTTAATGTAATGTTATGTTAGTTGCTCAACATAAATGTTAAAAACCTGTAAACACAACCAATTTTGATAGTGTTATTTCATCTATTTGAAACTCTTTGTGTTTAAGGAGTGGTTGTCCAAGGGTCATGGGGAGTTTAGAGAAATTCCCAGTGAGAAAGACTTTTTCAGTGAAGTAAAGGAAAGCAAAAAAGTTGTCTGCCACTTCTACAGAAATTCAACTTTCAGGTAAATCTATACATAAGAGATTAATAAGACGCATTCACTCTAATACCCAACACCAGGACTGGTGTTAAATGTGCACTGCTGTGCTGAAAGGTTGAACTAATCATCCTGTCTCTTTCATCTAGATGTAAGATCTTGGACAAACACCTCGCCATTTTGGCAAAAAAGCATGTTGAAACAAAATTCATCAAACTGGATGTGGAAAAGGCCCCGTTTTTGACAGAACGGCTTCGCATCAAAGTTATTCCAACACTGGCTTTGCTTTTAAATGGAAAAACGAAAGATTATGTGGTTGGATTCTCCGATCTGGGCAACACAGATGAGTTTTCCACAGAGATGCTTGAGTGGAGGCTTGGGTGTGCAGATGTTATAAACTACAGGTGAGACATAAAATACACTCAACATCTGTGAGACTAAAGATTGCATTGAACTAATGTGTAGCTGTAATCATTCTAATTTTATTTTCTATTTTTGTCCTAGTGGTAACCTGATGGAGCCCCCGACAGGAGCAAAGAAATCTGGCTCAAAGTTCACAAAAGTGGAGAAGAAAACCATCAGAGGGAAAGGTTATGACTCTGACTCAGATTCTGAAGATGACTGAAAAGTGCTGACTGTTTTTCTCTCATGGCTACATCACTTAAAAAAAAACCTGTAACTGTTCTTTCAAAGATTATGACTCATTTAACATATTTGTTTTTGATTTTCTTGTTTTTTACCAGATTCATAAACCTTTTTTTTTATTGAAACATTTTAGCATGATGCACCTTTTGTGCTCCAATGCCTCAAACCCAGGATCAGGTTCCAGTCCAATGCCGTATCTGTGTAATGTAGAGCTAATAACACTTGTTTCTGTGGTGCTCAGTTAACTTAGGTAGGGTGGAAGATGTTTGGATTTCAGGAAGTAACCACCCTCTCCATATTATGAAAAAAATGCAGCGACCTTGCGTGAAAGCTTCACCGGAATAATTGACATTAATGAAGACCAATTATTCTGATGATCCGCCTGGAAGAACAAAGTTCTCTGCTATACCTTTAAAGCAAGAGACATCGGCTAACTCATAAGAAAGTATAGTAGTGATGTATCAGAGCCATGTGTGTATTCATACTGACATTTGATTCACGTGTAATTCATTATTTAGAGCTCATCACTTCTAAAGTTGAATCTTGCTTTATTTAGTCATATTTTCTTGACAAACCTAAAGAAGAAAATCTCACATTGCTTTAGAAATTATTCTGTTTTTGAAAAAGGCCAACCTTAGATTGTGTACGGTGTAGTTTAAATGAAAGGTGCGACAGGAGCAGATGAGTTAAGAGTCCACCCTGTAACCAGAGGATTGCAGGTTTGAACCCTGCTCAGTCTGTTCCAGTCATCTTTTGCAAGACGGTTGACCCACCTTGCCTGCTGGTGGAAGCTGCATACGGCAGCTTTGGTAAGTGATTACATTAAAGCTCACCTCCAGTTTGTGAATGGCTGGATGTGTTGTGAGGTGCCTTGGAGGGTTGTAGAACCCTACAAGGCGCTAAACAAATACAAGCCCTTCACCTTGCCCAATCTTTTGTACCAAATCCAAACAAAACCACATCTAGGTCAGTGATATTTTAGCTTTGTTCCACTGCTGGGAAAGTGTTGTACTGATGCATCCCTGGTGAGAATGTACTCCGTTGGTCACTTAACTGACTTGTGGACATTTTTGTAAAACTACCTGTGTGAATATTGCTCGCAAACCGGCTAATAAATGAAAATAAAATTGTGTTTTCTGATCCAGAGCAAGTGAAGGTAAATGTTTAATAAAACTGAGTAGTGAGTTGTTGTGTCAGTATTTTTAGTTTATAAAATGACTGTAGATCACATTTTGTCTTATTTCAAAAGTAAAGACAGGAATCAAAATTTTGAGACATTTATCAACAGAACTTTTGATTATAACTGAATATCACTAAGACTCAACAGCTTTGTGATCAACAGGTTGAAGCAGACGATGCACGACCAGCTCTCCTTTGCTGTTAATGTATGTATCTGCCATGTCCTGTTCAGCAGGGAGCCCATACGGAGTTTTCAGCGGCTGTATCCTGCATCAGGGAGGAGACGAGTGAGAATTCAGTTATGTATTTTATTTTCAAACTCAGCAGATGAAAGGTTAATATATATACCAATTACATTAGATGGCAAAATAAAACTCCATTACATGGATGTCACAAAGTCTACTAATTACAAACATCACCTCACAAGATGCTTGACAACCTTCAGCTTGTTGTTGACTGCAGGTATATTTTTGTGAATTACAGGCTTGTGGGCCTAAAAGAAGAGAAAAGTGGAACAATTAGTGATTTTGGTACTTTGACTTTTATCATTACAGCTTTTTAAAGTCTTCAAGGAAAAGATCCCACAGCAAGCTTCTCATGCTCTGACAGGTTGCTAATACTAAATGGCATTTATAACCTTCTGTTGATAATTTCTATTGCTTTGTAAAAAGTCCTCATTGAATTTGAGCTTTTTTGTCTAATAATCTGACATTTACAAAATGATTTTTCTAAAACATTTTTGACATTTGTTTACACTTTTGAATATTTTTAATTAAACATCAGTATGAGATGTTGATGCTTAGATGACTCTAAACTCACGTGCTGAAGCCCAAGCTCTTTCACGAGGTCTTTCTCCCAATACGGCCTTCGCATCGCACTTTTGACTCGAGTCACGATGTGAAGTTTATGAGGCTGATCTGGGTCACCACCATATTTCTCGTGTTCTTTCGATCTCTCAACAAAAAGCTGCCAGGAAAGAAATACTGAACTGACCATGAACAACAAAACAAATGAACTAAACCATCATCTAAATCCTCTAATCAACTAAACCGTCATTAAGGAGTTTTCTGTGAAAATTCAAATAGTAGTCTCGTCTCTTGGCATTTTACGTGTTTCACAGTAATTCACTAATTTTCTATTAAACTACATGCAAATAATTAATGTTGAAACATGACTTGATTCTTTTACCTCATTTGGGATTCTTGATTTGGTAAATTTGTTGCGCGTGGACACTAACCACCCACACGGTGACAAAACGCCATCTTTCAGGGTCTGTAACAAATATAAAGCAAGAATTTGCATTATGAGCTACAATACTTACATGTTCCTCTACACATACACCATTTAAAAAGTCTTAGACACTAAGTTGGCAACTAAATCTCATCATCTTGTATCTGAATTTTGCACAGGAAATCTAGAAAAAAACCAAATCAACAAATTACATCACACAGATCAGATGTTTTTTTTTCTTCCTTTTTCCATGTGCTTGAATGACCACAAAGCAAAGTACAAATTATGTGGTTTAATTATTGAACAGGGATAAGTAGAAATACTAAGTGGTACTAAGTAAATAGTTTTTAATGATGGGGGATACATAATGTCTCAAATTTTTCTAAAAGAAATTCAGGTGTAAAGCTCCAATATTTCAAAATTGGACTCCATATGGAGGAGAAAAAGGCATCCTGCAAGGCATAGACCAAGGCCACATAAGCAAATCCTCTTACGTAAATTAAAAGTAATACGTCAAAATATGTGTATTAATGTGCGTTTGCTAGAAACTGCTTGGATGATTAAAATTCGGTCTGTTGAGCAGAACCCGTAATCCAGTATTTGACTGCAAAAGTTGTACAAACTATTTTAAAATTATTACCTTACCTTTAATGGCAGAGAGTTCAAACTGCGACAGACTCCGAACATGTTGAATTTCTGGGGCCACAAGACAACTACGCCAAGGTTACGGTCCTGCTAACACATCTATGAAACCGGTTTGACTTCAGGATTTCAAGAAAACGCTTATTTAAAAACCCAATATACTAAAGAAGATATCGGTTTAAGAATGTAAAATATGACCAAAACGAGGTAAACACAAGCCAAGTGTACTTGGGATTTTCTCTCTGGACCGGAAGGAAGTCCTGGAGTGAGTAACATCTAAATTGTACCGGTATGCAATTTGTCGTCCAGATACTTATCTAAATTTCTAGATCGGGTTTGGGTTAACCCTAATCCTCTTCAGTTCTGTTTTTGAATTAAAATAAAACTTAACACAAAATTTATAATTAAAATTATAATTATTAATATTTCAACTACATACAAAAAAAATCGTTCGTACCATTTACAAACTGATATTTCCTTTTTCTCCGGGAAGTAATTTGTTGACGCACTCAGGCATCTATCCATTAGGCAGGCTAGTAAAACTAATTTCGATGCTTTTTCCTTCAGAATTAAAACATAATTCCTTGTTTAAAGGCAAACATTTAAAATGTCAGAAAACCACGTGTCAGGAATGGAGGCGGCCGCCGTTTCCGTGCTAAAACGGGCGGTGGAGTTGGACCAAAGCGGGCGCTTTCAGGAGTCCCTGGTCTGTTACCAGGAGGGCATACAGCTACTTATGGACGTACTGAAAGGTACAATATATACAAATTTTATTCATTGTGGATATTATTATCCCAAAAATATATATTTTAACGTTTCCTTGTTTTGTAAACAGTTTCAAAAGATGAGTCAAAGAGAGGACACTACAGGGAGAAGATCAAGGGCTACATGGACAGAGCAGAGCAAATAAAGGCTCATGTAAATCAGATGAAAGAAGGTAATGCAGTTCAGCAGAAAAAATAAAAACAAATTCAGTAATGAGCTAGAAGACAACGTACTGATGATCCTGTTTGACACTTTGTCTTTGGTAGATTATTTAAGGTCGAACAAATATACTAAAGGTTTTATTTGTGCACATCTCCAAACAAATAAGTGTTTATAATCTCGTATTAAAAGCGGCGCAATTCTCTGGCTGTTTGATCATTCTGCTCCCCCTTTGTTTAACAGATGGAAAATACCACGAGCAGATAAAAATTTCAGGCGATGCCACTGGTTACAGCTACGAAACTTTGTTCAAACCCTACATCAGCAACACTCTCACTGAGGTTTGGGTGGAGGACCCATACGTACGGCACACACATCAAGTAGGAGCTGTTTCACTTCACGTTTCATTGACCTAGTTGATTTTCTCAGTGTCTCAAATTGTGTCTGATTTATTCATAACAACCTATTATCGGAGATGGCAACTGCTGCTTTACATTAATAAGCAATCATAATGATTTAAGCATTGCTTTTGCTTCAGACATGTTCAAAATGAGTATATTTCATATGTTTTTGCTATTTATTATTTACAAATTGGCTTGAAACTTAATATACCATTGAAGAACTGACAAACCTGCACAAATATCGAGATCTGGTTTAAATTATTCCGGTATATTTCCATATTCTCCCCTTCTATCATATTTTTCTTTTGTTGTTTAGATTGTTTTCTGTTCTTTTATGTTTTAGTTATTTGTTTCAATTGTTGTTCTTTGTTAAACTGATTTTTACTTTTCTGCTGATGTAACCCTGCAGGAAAATGAATCCCCTCCCCCCCAAAAAACAACCTTCCATGGGAATTAATAAAGTTTATCTGAATCTAATAAAAACAAAAATAGTTTATTTCATTCACTTTCTCTGTTTATGTTTTACGCTGTAGCAGAATCTGATGTAAAGTTAATGAAGCATTCATTTTTAAATTGTTTTTTTCAGCATTAGCCACAGTTTAAAAGACACTGAATAAATGTTGTAATGTTTAAAGTACATTTTATCTTCAGTTACAATCAATATTATATTAGTAAAAGCTCTTTTTTTCTTCGCTCCACCAGCTCTACAACTTCTTGCGTTTCTGTGAGATGCTTTTAAAGTCCTGCAGCAAGGTGACAAAGATCCATCTCCTCACATCACAGGATGATGTAGGTTACCAAGATAGTAAACGTTACATTACATTGTGTCATTAATGCTCAGCTGTCTCCTCTGCTTGATTTATGTTGTTTAGCTGATCCTTCTTGTCCTGCAGGTTGACAGCAGCCAGCAGAACGGTGCTCTTTTAGAGCTAAAAGACAGTCTCAGTGCTCAGGGAGTGACTCTGGATCTACAGTTCTCCTCCACCATCCATGACAGGGAGATCAGGTGTTTTCTCTTGCTGCTAAACCTACATGTAGCGCTTATTAACATTCCTAATAAAATTGTTTATTTTTAGGTTTGACACTGGTTGGATTATAAAAATTGGAAGAGGGTTGGATTACTTCAAGAAGCCTAAGGTGGGACTACATTCATACTCGTAAAGATTCATTCCTAAATTTCTGTTTCCTCGGGATGATAAGCTCTGGTTTTGGTTTTCCCACAGGGTCGATTCTCCATCGGGTATTGTGACTACGACCTCAGACTGTGCCACGAGACAACTGTAGACATTTTTCACACAAAACACACAAAGAGTTTATGAGATGCTAAAATTCATTTGTAACTCAAGAAATTGTATTTACTTACATTGTACTGGATTGCCTTAACCTGACTGAAATAAGCACCTTTAAATGTTTTGTGTTTTGTGCATCTGTAAATGTCATGTAACAATGCTTTTTTACTGGTTTGTTTTCTGCTGTTGGGCAAAAAAATATATATATTTTTTAAAAAGTGCCTTAAGCATAAAAAATGAACTCCACTGATTTGTTGTGTTTTTAGAGGAAAAAAGTTTAACATTTTTTTAAATAATTTTTTGTCACTGATTAGCTAATCTACATCTATTTTGTTGCTTTCAACTAAAAAGTTTTCACAAGGTGTATTTTAATATATTTTGGGGTTTCTGCAGCACATATTTAGCATTTAGTTGGTGAAAAAAATTTGATTAATTTTCTTATTTCTTGGATTTTGATTATTTTTCTTATTTCTTGGAGTATTTGATTTTTACATATAAAACATTCAGGGCAAAAATAAAAACTTAAAAATTGGTGAGAACGAGTAGTTTTCCTATTTAATTGCTGTGCATGTGTGTTTGAAAGTATTTCAACATGTCAAGTTATCTATTTAGACCACATATCTGCCACTGACCACTAATTCATGTGCTCAACTTAAAAATTTGAATTTAGTCTTAAGAAAATAAAAGTTCCTTTGATTTATATGTTTAATCATCAGATGTATCAAAAATGTGGAAATCATTTTTTTTTTCAATTTATTTTATCCATTCATCCATTTTCTTCACCCACTTATCTATGCAGGGTCGCAGGGGGGCTGGTGCCTATCTCCAGCTGTCTTCGGGCAAACATACAGGGTACACTCTGGACAGGTTGCCAGTCCTCCACATGGCAACACACAGGACAAACAACCTTGCATGCATACACTCACACCTAAGGACAATTTAGAAAGACCAATTAACCTGATGGTGCAGACAGAGGTACCCACTTGTGTTCAGGGAGAACACGCAGACTCCTTGCAGAGAGACCCCGGGCTAGGATGTGAACCCAGAGCCTCCTTGCTACAAGGTAACGACACTAACCACTGCACCACTGGTTAGCCCAATTGATCTTGTACCTTTTATAATTGAAACCACAACCTCAAACTCTACTTTCACCTCTCCTTTACTCATATTTTCTGCCTCTGGGCTGAATCAAAAAAGTTAAACCATTTAGGGGTGGCTCATGCTTTAAATCAACATTTCTCTCATTCAAAATTTAGTTAAAGGTTGATGTAAAGAACTAAATCAGCAAAACACAATATGTAACAACTGTGTTGGACAGCTTTTATGAAACAAAACATTAAAGGAAAACAGCTTTTTATTTATGAAATGGTTCTTTTTCAAGAGGGATTCTCCCATATTGTCAAGCGTGAATAGTAACTCATGAGTTCACAGGGCTGTGATCGGATTATCTGTCAATCTTAATCTCAATATGCATGATCCTTATCTGAGTTCAGATATGACGAAATTATAATCCATCAGGAACCCTCCTGAAAGTGTGTGTTGTTTTTCTTCTGAATCAAAGAGGCCGATAGTCCCAAAAAATCACAGATTAGTCAATATTCCGAAGCCTCCTTTCAGTCTAGAATAATGCATTTAATCACATTACGCTCATTCAGGGATACAACGAGTTGCTGTGCTTATATTTTTGTGTAGGTTAGAGACAAATCCATGAATGGGGCAAATCCCAGAATCTGATGTCCCTGTGTTCTGCTAACATGTTACGTGTTGTTTATTACATGCAGGGCAGATGTCGGCTGGATTTGTGTGATTAAGGAGGGGGGGGGGGGGGGGGGGGCTACATCAGGGAAGCTGCTCACGCATTAATGTAGATGCAAAGGTGTGCCTTTTAAATCCCTCTGCTGGGATGTGTTTCTGTTGGCATCTGTGACTTTCACTAAGCACCAGGATGGTTCACAGCGGAGTGTGAAGCTACCGGGATCGGAGTCAGCTCCTCCCAGTCGAAGGCTGGCCCTTGGCCTGACAAAGATGGAACTGTCCCGCTGGCTGGGGAGTGGATTTGCCTTAGAGCTGCTGCTCCTCCGCATTTAAAGGAATCCGCTGAGGTGGTTCGAGCAACAGGTTTGGATAATTCCAGCTCTCCTTCCTGTGGAGGTTTTCCAGCCACATTCTCACTGGCAGGAGACTTCGAGGCAGGATGAAAACTTGCTGGGAGGGTTTTTTTTTATCCTCTTTGGTGTGGGAATGCCATGGGATTTTCCTCTGATGAGTAAATCTGCAAAGTGCATCACCTTAATAACATATTGTGATCTGTTTGTCATTAATGAGGACACACGTTAGATTTTAACTCTAAAGCCTGAATAGGTGTGAGAGGGTTAGTTCATCTATAAATGTATTTGTAACTTTTGAGCAGCCCGGTGTGGTGCATAAACAGGTTTCTACGAGCCATGATTCCTATCTGCATGCCCTCTTTCCCACTGGAGCTTTATTTTTTTCCCTCTACTCTCATTTCTGGGCCTAAAATCAGGTTAGTGTTTTATAAGGAGCTTAGCGCAGAGGGCCACAGTGTGCCACCAATGTAATAGAGTAACCCTCCCTCTGCCTCTCTCTCTCTCTCTCTCTCTCTCTCTCTCTCTCATACACTCTCATCTGTCCTCTTTTGTGCATTTGCTTATCCTACCATGCAGTGACCTTCTCCTTCTGCCTTTATTTCTGTTTTTCTGCTTTATTTTTTCCCCTTCTTCCCTCTCTCCTTTACCTCTGCACATCTGCATACGTCCTGGTTAAAGGGGGAGTTTAATCATTAGGTTTGGCTGAGAACTCTGCAGGAGAGGAGGACAAACAGGAAGAAGTGAAGCTGAGCTGCTGGTTCGGACGTTCGGTAAATTCATTCAATTTTGCAAAGGATAGTGTGTGAATGTGTGTGTTTTCATGGGATATTCCCTGTGAATTTCATGCTACATGGGGACATTGTGATTAAAACCTCTTCTGTGGATTACTCTGCTGCTGTGAAATTTTACAAGGATCTATCTGCAATGTCAGTAATCCCCTGGATTATATTGTTTCTTTAGAGGTTATGCTGTGAAAAATCAAAACCTCCATTCTATTGGGATTTAAATTCCATTCATTGCAGAGGTTTAAAACATGTTACTATTTTTCAAGTTTTCTGGATCGATCACGTGCCTGTAGCATTTAAAAGGAGAAAAGGGCGATCTCCGTGATACGAAAGGTGCAGTATGGACTTTGCATGTTTGTCCATAACCTGGCATATCTTGTTTTATCAGTCAGCCAAGCATGATTATGCCCTGTTGACTCGTTGGCTGCACAGACAAAACAGTGTGAAGCGCAGAGACTGGCTGTTTCTCAAAGGGAACCAAAACAGGGTTGGTGACTATATAAATAAATAAAAACATAGAGCAAGAATGACCTACATTCTGGCTCCAGGAATAAAACAGCCTGGTCCGAGCAGCGAGGCTACCTGAGAATGACTTTTAGTTTGAAAGGTTTGGGCAAATTAGTGTTTCTTTTTTTCTCATTCTGGTCAGAATTGGCTCTTTCATTTTTGGTACAATGATTACAGTTTGCTGATCTGTACAGAGTCAAGTCCCTCACCCCGCCTATAGGGTGGCTCTGTTCCTGATAATGAGATGTATGATGAACCTTTGGACTGCACGTCTCTGACTTGTTCTTCAGAACAAAGGATTTTCCTCTCACAAATGGTATCTCTTGATTATTTCTCTTGTTTAAGCATACTTTTGTTCTCTGTTTAGTGGTTTTTAAAGAGATCTGACTGATGGAGCTCTTCTCTGGAGATACAGAGGAAGGCACAGAGGAGATCACAGGTGAGGTCGATTCAAACGCTTAGAAGTAAGAAAACAATTTGAAACTTTTACAAAAAAAAAGGCGTGCTAAATAATGTAAAAGGGTTTGTTGAGCTGACTGAGTTCATTTCGGCTTCTTAAGCTGCTTTGACCTGAATCTGTTTTTGTTTTCATCTCTGCAGGACGTAAAAACTCCAAAATGAAGTCTCTGAAAACTCGTCTCTTCAGGAGGAGTAAAAAATCGGGTGCAGAGGCAAATCCCAAACTCAGCCAGTCAGCTGGCAATGTCGCCATTGGAAAAGAAATGGGATCAGATGAAGACTTGGTGTGAGTGTCTGCATGACAAAAACCTCTCTGGATGCTCAGATCCATTTTCTCACCCTCATTCTCTAAATCTGCTTTCAGTAACTCCTCTGGGATGATGGGATCCCGAGCGTTGTCCCATGACAGCATCTTTCTGGATGATCAGACCCTGACAGATTCTGAACCAGCCAGAGTTTTATCTCAAGAGAACGTTCACAGTAAAATCAGAAGTCTTCAGGTACCACCTTGCCTTAAATGGATCAGAACCAGAAAGCTGGGTTAACTCATTAAATGGCATCATTGTCTGCTGCTTTCACAGACAAAACTTCAGCTGCAGAAAATGCATTTTGGACCTCCACCTTTGGTTCTGCCCATCAAAAGTCCAGAAGAACCCACGAGTCAATCAGAGGAATTTCTTTTCTTCAGCTCTAACGACGCTCCAGGGGAGAGAACACACACAAAGGTAGTTTATCATCTCAGTTACACACAGTTCACGCTGACTGGCTGAGAGCTTTAGAGTTGGTTGTTGGATATATTTTGATTTGTTGGTAAATTTCTTATGTGTAGTTTTTATTTAGTCTGTTTTCTTATGAACATTTTATACATTTTGACTTATTAGGAAAAGCACAGGTGTATAAATGAGGGCTCCATGCCAATTATTATGTTTTCTCGCAGCTGCAGAGGTGGAATGCAGCCCTCACCATTACACCTGTGCCTTCCTAGAAGGTTGCTGTGAAATAAGTCTGTTGGTCAGTTTCTCTCGTGCCTCATTTACACCCAGAATGGAATGGACTCAGTCCGGTTTTTGTATGGCTTCCGGGCGACTTTTGGACGAACTGCCATTTACATCGACTGTGAATTATGTGGAACATCTCCAGACATGAGCTCATGCAAGAGAACCAAATGATTAGAAATTCAACATAATATGTTTAAAGATATACTTGTAAAAAATAGTGTGAATAGCTTACACTGTGAACTGATATCGTTGATAAAAACAAAAAATTCACAAAAAGACAGATTTGATTCTGAATCTAACTGGAGGCACATTGATGAACTAATAAAAATGTACTTGCATAGTAGTGTAAAGCACTTTTGGAGTCCTCTGACTCTGAAAGGTGTTATAGTATATAGTTTACAAGTGTGGGTCATTTATGATGAACCACATCTCACTTGCTGTCTGGCTCGTGTAATTTCTTCAACTTCTTGACGATCCGCATCTGAATCCGCCTCGCACGCAGCCGATGTGAATGCTCTGATGACTTTTGGTCTTAGTGGAAGCCTTACGGAGTTTGGACCGCATCCGCTCCACACTAAATAAATATGGTGTCAGTCATCTTTGTTGTGATGCTCAGCACTCACCTGTTAAATACCAGCTGCTCTTAATGTGTAATTTCTCCCTGCATAAGTTCTCCCCAGCTCTTTGTCCTGTCGTGTTCCTGTACTCTTCCTTTATTGTTTCCATGGTTACCCACACCATGTGTAAATGCACCCTGATAACATCGGTGATGCTGACTCTAAAACATTGCACTGTTATTAAAATGTGTAATCACTTTTGTACAGAAGGATCTTAATGCGTTGTGATTAAACAAATAAGAGTTAGATGGACTGAATGAATGATAGTTAATAAATAATTTGATTTACTTGGAAAAACGTGTTAAAGTTTATGAAATGCATTGTGTGAGCAAGTGCATTAACTTGATTTGATGTTTTTATCTTTTCCGACATCCCCTCAGCCAACTTCTCCTGTAGTTTCACCCGTCCCCAAATCTGCACCAACCAAACCATCACCCCTGAATGCATTCAGTCCTTTTCCAGTTCCAACTAGTTCCTCCACAGCAACCATCGAGCCCCCGCTGGACTTCAGCGCTCCGGCTGAATTCACTTCCTCTTTAGATACTTCTGCTGCACGCCACCGGCTCTCCATTAAACCCAGAAACCAGAGGGCCAGCACTAAGAAGAAAAGCACAACTGTGGTGAGATTTGCTTGCCTTAATGCTCTTGACAGCAGCAAACGCACTTAAGTAGCACTTAACCATTTCTAAGATGTCATTTCAAAACGTTTCTCCTTTTTTCAGACTCAACATGGGTCCAGCTTAAACAACCTGAAACCAGCGGAGAACCTTGAGTTTGTGGAAGAAAAAGAGCAGCAGTGTGTTGCACAAGAGAGAGAGGCAGAAGAGAAAGAAAATGTTGATATTTCTCGGCGTCTTACAGTAAAATCTTCTGAGGTGTCGGCAGTAACATCAAAGGAAGCACCCAGATCGTCCAGCCAAAGTTCTTCCCACCAGGTTCATGAAACGGTAGCCCCCCAGGTCCTTCGGGTCAAGCCTCACAGGCGTGTGGACTCACTGACTGCTAAACGACCACACTCCTCCTTCATCGAGTCAGAAATCAGAGAAAAGAAAGAAAGTTTAGAAACACAAGTGCTGTCTGAAGGCAAGACCAAAGTCCTTCCCGAGCAGCTCAGCTCCGTGTTCACATCCAGGTCTTCTTCTGCTCCAGGTGAGGAGGACAACAGAAGACAGCTACAAAGACCACCCCCAGGATCTGGCTCTTTCCATTTGTCCATCCGTACTGTCAAAAACCAGGATGGAGAAAGACCCCGATCAGGCAGTTTCGGAGGAAGGTTGGAACAGACTGAAGCCAAGAACAAAACAGCTGGAGGAGCAGAGGAGAAGAAAGAAAAGGAGGATTTTAAAAGCACGCAGCTGAAAGGAAGCCCTGTTGCATTAGAAAGACTTGGACAAGAGGGATCACCCTCCAGACGACCAGCCAGTCTATGGGACAGAAAGACCAACCTAAAGAAGACAGAAACTGTGACAGCAGCCCTAAACGTCCCCGCAGAGCCAGCCGCTGTCCAGACCGAGGAGATGGAAAGCAGCCAGGAGCGGGTGGATGATGCGGAGGAAGCAAAGGAGGAGGATGGGAAAACACCGTTTGGCGTTAAACTACGCTCTACATCTCTGTCGCTTAAATTCCGTTCGGACTCCTCTTCCCCTCGACATTCAAACACAGAGGTTTCTGAAGACCAGGATGCCAGAAGGAAAAATCAGGAAACAAGCAACAGCACAAATCGAATGCCAGAAGCACTGCCAACGAACACGACCAGCGTTCCCAGAGCAAAAGGTGAGATTGAATTCCCTCATAGAAATGACCTTAACTCAAATATGAAATGGTGTTTAAATATACTGCATGTATGGTGTTTGGCTTCTGTTTCTGCATGTTTAAGTGCACGATGCACAGATGGCTGCCGTGCACGTTTCAAAACAAGCTAGAACCCACTTAGTAAATAATCAGTCTAGAAAGATAAGACTTACCGGTAACAGGTGAACTTTGCACCCATTCAAACACCATTCAGTAAACTTTAACAACTCCTCAAAGCATATCTAACAGGCTTGTGTTGCTCCTTAGACCCAGCTCCGTCTGGAGTGGCTCTTTCAGTCAAGCAAAGCGCTTCGCTTCTGGAGAATCCTCCCGCCATTCCCACAGAAGCCCAGACAACCTCCTCACACAACAAAGAAGCAGAAACTGCTCCCCAGACATCCTCGTCCGAGGTGTCCTGGATGACTCTGGCGATGGAAAAGACCAGAAGCCTCCAGCAGCTTTTCACCAGCAGATTCCCAAAAGAATTTCCAGGAGTGCAAACCACCGCTCGGCCACAAGCACAAGCTCAGTCTAAACCTCAAGCAGACACCATGACTCAAGCACAAACAATGAAGGCTCAGCAGAGTGCACACCAGCCACCAGTGGGCCCAGTGAAAGAAGAATCTGAAAGAAGAATTCAAGAACAGGTTGTCAAACCATCAGATGTGGCGAAGCAACAGAAGATTATATTGAAAGAATCGCAAATGTCCAAACAGCCAAATGAAGGTCAGCCTCAGCCTGCTCAGGTCCCCCAACGGACCACTCAGTCTCCTTTACGCTCGGCTTCACAAACCACATCTCAGCTTTCACAGGGGAGCGCATCCCAGTCTCTCACTCAGTCGTACCTTTCTTCAGCCCAACAGCAACCACCATCCTGGCCCAGTCGAGGTTTCCAGACAGCCCTTCAGATCAAATCCATGACCCCACCTCAGGCATCAGAGATGGGTGTCACATCAGCTCCTGCTTTAGACTCTGCTTCGGATAAAGAAGGCACAGTTCATAAGGAGAGTCCATCACTCTTTTCCCGACGAACGATCTGGACTGGCTCGGTGGCTGAGAGGGCTGTGTTTTTAGAGAAACGGGGGGAGTGGACAACACCGCCATCAACGACAGGGGTTTGTAAACTATTAATAATGCTTGATTTTTCTGTTCCATATCATACACGTTTTTGTTTTATTCTTCTAACCAAGTATCGGTCTCAGGTGGAAACGAGGAAAGCTCAAATAGAAGTACAGACATCAGCCGACACCCCCACCATGAAACATCCAGCTCTAAGCAAAGACACAATGGCAGAAATCAGACAAGTGGTTAAAACAGCAGGTATGTCGAAACACGTGGTCATGTTGATCAAGCCTGTTTGCAGAGCTGCTATGTAGCAGTTTTTGCTTCCAATTTTCAGAATCAAGCCCCATCAAAGTTCCAGAAAAGCCTCCCGAGGACAAATGGCTGAGGAAAAACATGGGCTCACCTTCATCTCCATCTTCGCTACACACCAGAGCTTTGGAGCTGCAATCTATGTCTGACAGCAGCCAGCCATCCTGGATGGAGCTGGCCAAGAGGAAGTCAATGGCTTGGAGTGATAAGACCATGGACTAAGAAGGAAAACCAAGATTAAAATAGCAAACCTGCACACAAATACTTATTTTTTCCAGATATTCTGTTAAATGTTGGCTGTGTGAGAGGTGTTGATCAAGCTCTGGTAAATTTAACATCTGCTTTGTTTTTATTTTATTGTAAAGAGTTCATGCCTCATTAAGGGATGAAGAAAGAAAAGAGTATATGGAGAGATTTTAATATAATCCAGATTAGAAGTGTTTATGAATTAGCTGTAAATTGATGCAGCAGTTTAATGCTGGGAAAAGTTTCTGTTTGACAATTAAATTTCTAATATTGTTTTTAGTTGTCAATAATGTGAATAATGATTGAGTTACTCTGGGGGAAAAAACTAAATAACTATATAAAACATTATTTAAGGTCTTTTCCAGAAAACCACATGGGCAGATAGATTGCATAATTTGAGATTAAAACCCGAACAACAATCCTGTGGATTTACAGGAAATGTTCAGACATTTGGCCTGTCGCTCCTCCTACTGTTCAGACTCTATAATGTCCAAAACAGAATCAGAATGTGGCTCTAGTCTACATTCAATCCTGCATGTTTTAACTGTTTTCCTGCTCAAGCACAGCTCACTTAATGGATGAAACCCTTCAACAGCATGCCCCTAAATTCTGCAGAAGCCTGTTAATCAGCCATTAACTAACCAGGTATACGTTGGAGCAAATAAACATTAAAACATGCTTGAAAATTGCCCCAAACCTTTCTGCTTCAGCGACTGCGGTTTGAAGAAATGAACATATAAAAACATTAAAATAAGAATAACGACCATCCATTCAGTTGGGACCACCAGTGTAGTATTACTACCTATTTGTTACTATTTTTTTTTCTGTGATTAAATCTAATTATATTTCAGGTGATCATCTCAGGATCTAAACATTGGGAACCATTGCCCTACAACAGTGGTTCCCAAACTGGGATCCGCAACCCCCAAGGGGTCAATATAGATAAATGTGTCTACGTGTGCTGAGGTTGTGAGGTTACCAGTGTTAAATTTGTGAACATAAGGTTTATAAAATCCCTGAAACACACTATATGATGTAAAACAGTGATAAAAAAAACAACTAAAGCCTCCAATTTCTATTTAATTTTTGCAAAATAAAGTTTGTAATTAATAATTTGAATGGAGGTGAGGACCCAGGGTTGTCTTGGACAGAGCCTCTGTCACAGAGGTAAGGTGGTCCTCAAGGAAAACGGGTTGGTAACGCAACCATTGAACACAGATCCTTGTCCTCCAGGTAAATAGGTCCAAATGCAGTTTGATGAAGCTCATTATTATTGGACATTAAAGTAAAAATAATGTAATAAAGGCAACACATTCTGTGGAACTCCTCAGCAGCAAGTTGAACGTGAAGCTGCGTTCCCTTTAACCACCAGTAGAGGTCACCATAGAAGCAGTCTCGTGATTTAAAATCGCGCGCGCACGCACGTGAGTTTTGTAAACAAGTGTAATATAAGTTTCAGTGGGAGCACGGGCAGAATGTCTTGACCCCATCCAGAACCCGAAAACAGCACCAGTAGGCAACAACTTATAAAAAGAGCCTTTATTCACACTGGCAATAGTAAAACAATAACAAACAACAATAAAACACTAGTCCTTCACGCCTGGGACGTAATTTTGGGGGGGGACGGGTGGGACATGTCCCCCCCACTTTTTCAAAAGGCAGTTTCGGTCCCCTTCACTTTTTTCCGTCCAAAAACAATATTACGCTCCATTAAATGGATTTGATTGAGCACTAGGACCGAAACGGAAACCGGTTTCCTATTAGACCCACCCAAAAGCTAATCTATTGGCTCTGCTGATACTTGCTAACGTATTATTGGCTGTTGCTGCTGTCACTCAAGTTGTAAACAGTCAGAACGTGCTCACGTTGTTTTGCTAGTTTGGAGCCGCAAGGGAACACCGGTACTGAGTCACATCGTCAACTAGACGCTGTGTAATATCAGAGCTCAGCTCAGCTTCCATTATATAACATTTGAATAAGTGTTCATTTGTGAGTCTTTGGTAGTTATGCACAGCCAGGCGGCAGCATGTCAAGAAACGAAAGTGGATATAAGAGACTTCTTTCAAAGTCAAAACGTAAGTTGGAACATGTGACACCGCTGCATTAAGCTCAGACTCACCTCCTCCTTCACAAACATACTCAAAACTAACTTTTACAAACTAATCTCCTCCACATAACTGACTCCTCAGACACAATTTATTCGTATTATTATAATTTATTATTATTATTATTACTATTATCATGATTATTATTACTAGTAGTAGTAGAAGTGTAACTTCAAAACTTTTATCATTTAACTTTATTGTAAACTTATCTATTGCAATGTATATGTTTACATTAAAAAGCTCTGAAAAATGAACAGTATCATCGTCAACAGATTTTTTTAAGCTTAATGTCAAATATGTACTCTTTTCATTAGATTTATCTTATTTTTTCCATTTATTTTTTGTGTGTTGAAATGCAACAACTGTTTAAACACGTTTAAGGGAAAAAAACATATTTAATATGTTTTTATACACTCAAATTGGTAATGAATAATTTACACATTATATTAATAATAATTGTGAATCATACTAGAACCATCCTGTAAATATTTCTGTTTGTTCCATTCCAAAATCTCCCACTGTTTATAGTTCATGCATCTTTTTTTCAGGTGACTGACAGAGATGCAGGAGGAGAGACCGGTGAAGGTACAGCAGGAGAGGCTGTAGGAGATGGAGGACGAGAGCCTGGAGGAGATGGAGCAGAGGCTGGAGGCTCACAGGTGAGGATGAAATAATGAAGATACGATAGACATAAAATTGATCATTGTGACAAATGTTAGGGTGATGATCATGTGTAAAACATTAGTTCAGCATGTTCTCTAACACAGCAAATGAAATAACGGCCAGATCTCAGGAGGGACCGTTTATGTATAAATACTTTTTATACTTTTGACTAGGCCTGGGAAAGTAACAAATTTTGCTGGATGATATTTTGTCCAACAAATTGTTGATGATAAACGATATCATTGTCAACATTATCTAGACCAAAATAACCACTAATATAATGTTAATATATCATAATAATGCAAGTACACCCTTTAAAATGCAACAAATAAACCTTCATTTAACATTGAAATGTCCAGAACCAGAACTTCTAAATGAATAAAAAAACAAACAAAAATTAAATAAAAAAAAGAATCTCACTCCCTGTTAGAAAATGTTGCACCAAAAACAATAAAAAAAGACCCAAAACAATAAATACAATGGCCTATCCATTGTCAACAGCCAAAACTGCACTTCAATAATGATAATAAATATTAATGATAATAGAGTTGTACATTTTTTAACTTTGATATATATATATATATATATATATATTGAGGATGGAAAAATTATTGAGATGGGCATGTGACGTGTCAAAGGGTCTTTACATAACACCCCCACCCCAAATCCGCACAAGCCTGCTGTGTCCCCCCCACTTCTGAAATCAAAATTTCGTCCCTGCTTCACGCTAAAAGCCAGATGATAAGCAGGAATGAAAACAAGCAGCGGTACTTAGCTGTCCCAGTTTATGCGACCCCCTCCCCGGAGTCTGAGCTTCCGATACCATCCAACGCCCCGGGGTGCAGCTTGCGAGGACGGCGGGTAAATCCACAACTTAGGTCCAACTGCCAGAGCCTGCGGCGGCAGATGTCGGCGTGGTCTCGGCACCCAACTACTCCCAGCCCTCGCTACCTAAAGAAGGCGTCAAGCCTTCCCTCCTATCACTGGAACACTGCCCACCTGCTCAACTGTCTTTGTCGCCGGCAGCCCTAAACGACTGCGAACGACCCCACCCCCCAGAATCCGGTGCCACAATGACAGGTCGACCACACGCCCCAACTCGGTAAATCTGTCACCCTTTTGTTCTCTCCGGCCTCTACCCAGAACAAGGACCAGCCGGCGTCCAATCACCACGCCCTCAGAATCCGGCAACTCCCGTCTTCTGTCCTTCACACAAGAATGGCCATGAGGTCCCGTTACTTTCCATCACTGGCGTTCGCCAGTCTCCTGTGTTTGTGCCAGAGCTACACCCTGAGGAGCTCCGTGTTCTGGGTGGTGACCCACAACGTGAATGTGTAGGACAATGATCTGTTGGAGGAGGACGCGCCAGAGTTGCTGGTGGACGGAGTGGGGCTGTGGAAAGCCAACATCCACGGAGACCGCCTGGCGAGTCCCGTAGAACAGGCCAAAGCCAAGAGTGGGCACGGTCCAGTGCAGCTCTCCTCTCGCCTCTTCTATCGCTTGGAGAATGTGAAGAAGTCTGGCAGCTGCTCTCCTCCTCATCCTCACCAAGAGACTGCTCGCACTGCTAGATACATCGCTCACTATAATGACATCTTGCCACCATTTCTACCCAGGATAAGGTAACGTCACGTGTAGTTTCTTTAAAAGTTTCATGTAAAATGTTAGCAGTGATGTCTCATTTGAGTGTTTGATACCCCCTGGCGGTTATTGTTAAATTATTTTGTATAACCTTGTAGGCTTTGTTAAAAAATTGCTAAATAAAATAAAAACTTAGACAATCTTTGGCTTAAAAATAACTAAAAAGGTCTAAATAGAAAATATCCTTAAAAACATAGCAACATAAAAATTAAACAGAAGGAAACTAAAATGAAATAAGAAAATATGACAAGAAAGCAAAGATTAAAATACAAGAATATTAGCTTCTTGAAAAATAAATTTCACAAAATAGTAGAAAAACATTTCAGCACAATTTATGTGCCTGCTTAAGCTGAGAGCACAGTACATGAACAATATCCGGTAAGAGAAGCCATGTGATCGAATGATCTCACCCAGTGAGGTGGTGTTTATGGCAAAGAGAAGACGTCCTTGTACAGAGCCCACAGGAGTCCCCCAGGGCTCTGTACTAGGACCTCTTCTATTTGTTATATACACCACCTCACTAAGTAAGATCATTCGATCACATGGCTTCTACTACCACTGCTATGCCGACGACACCCAGATCATCTATCATTCTTACCGGACGACCACACAGTCTCCGCACGAATCTCGGACTGTCTCTCTGACATGTCAAGAGGGATGAAATCTCAGCATTTCCAGTTCAACCTCTCAAAAATCATCTCCCGCCTCGACTACTGCAATACCCTTCTAACTGGTTTTCCAGCCTGTACTGTGAAACCTTTTCAAATTGTCCAGAAAACAGTGGCGCGTCTGGTCTTCAATGAGCCTAAAAGAACACGCGACCCCTCTGTTCACTGAGCTCCGTTGGCTACCGTTTGCTGCACGCATTAAATTCAAATCGCTAACAGTAGCATACAAAGTCCTGGATGGTACGGCTCCCATCTACCTGAGCCCTCTTGTAAAGGCTTATGTCATGGGCCAACCACTCCGGTCATCAAAGGATTGTCAGCTAGCAGTACCTATACCACGCTCAGGACAATCCAGACTCTCTTTATGTGTTGTTCCACAGATGTGAAATGACCTAACAAGCACTACCAGAACAAGGGTGTCCTTGTCGATTTTCTAGAAACTCCTGAAGACCCAGCTCTTCAGAGAGCATCTTCTAAATTAGGACCCTCCCTGCACCAGTCCTCCACTCTACCATCCACTCCTTGTTCACTTCCCTTCATGATTCATTATGCTGCCTCACTGCCACCTAGGACTGACTGATTATTGTTTTGTTGTTAGCCTCAAGGGCAACCTGCTGGCTTGTAAGTTGCTTTGGACAAAACCATCTGCTAAATACATAAACATAAACAAATTCCCTTTGCAGGCCCATCACCTGCTACTGGATAGGAACTGCTCTGGAGTGGTTCTGCCCTTATCTGTCAGAGCGTTCTTTCTCTGTGTCAATCTCCAAGTTTCGGTCCTCCACCACCTCCCTTACCCATGGTGTCCCACAAGGTTCTGTGCTGGGGTCTCTATTCTTCCTTCTCTATCTGCTTCCTCTTCAGCACATCCTGAGCTCCATTAAAGTTAAAGTCCCATAGTCATCATCACACAATGGTCAAATTCATCTCCACATTTCACCCATCCCCATGGAGGGGAGCAGTGAGCTGCAGTGGTGGCTACACTCGGAATCTATTTGGGGGTTTAACCCCCCAATCCAACTTCTTAAAGCTGATTGTCAAGCACGGAGGCATTGGGTCCATTTTTAAAGTCTTTGGTATGAGTCGTCCGGGAACTGAATCCCGATCTCCCACTCCCAGGGCAGACACTCTACCACTTGGCCACTGAGCTGGTAGGACTCTCCTACCATCTTTGCAGATGGCATCCAACTGTACAACTCCTTTAAGCCCCATGAGATGTCTAAGTTGCAGCTGTTACACACCTGCTTAGACTCTATTAAAACCTGGTTAGGGAAATTTCTAAAGCTGAACGAAGATAAAACTGAGATCTTCATCTGTGCCCCAGACAAGCTGGTTCCCAAAGTCAGAGACTCTCTTGGTCAGCTTGCTTCTCACACCAAACCTTCTGTCAGGAATCTTGGTGTGACCTTTGACCCAGCTCTCACCCTGGATTCTCATGCCAGTTCTCTTGTTCGCTCTTCCTTCTTCCATCTCAGGAACATTGCTAAGCTGAGTCCCATTCTGTCCCGCTCTGAACTTGAGACAGTTCTCCACACCTTCATCTCCTCACGCTTAGACTACTGTAACTCTCTTTTCACGTGTCTGAGCAGAACCTCCCTGAACCGTCTACAGGTGGTTCAGAATGCCTGTGCTCGGCTTCTGACCAAGTCCTCCAAACACACCCACATCACCTCGCTTCTCCTCCAGCTTCACTGGCTGCCAGTCAACTTCAGGGTTAATTTCAAGATGCTGGTTCTGGTTTTTAGGGCCTTACATGGTCAAGCACATTATCCGATGGTGATCTTCTCAGTCCCTACACCCCCAGCAGGTCCCCGAGGTCCAGTGACCAAAGCCTACTGATTGTGCAGCGCACCAGGCTGAAGACCAAAGGTGACAGATCATTTGCTGCTGTGGCCCCCAGACTCTGGAACTCTCTCTCCCTGAGCCTGAGATCAGTGGACTCAATGGACTCCTTTAAAAAGCAGCTGAAAACTCACCTGTTCAAGCTGTTTTTTGCGTGACCTTTGTCATCACCCTCTCCTTATTCTGTTCTTATTCCACCTTTCCCAGGATCCACTGATTTCCCTCTTTCCTATTCATTTTCTCTCTCCCTTTCCTTACATTTTTTAATCACAATTTTTAATTATTTCTCACTTAAAACATATTTCCTAATTGTTTTAAAAAAATCTTTTTTATATTTAAATTTTTGTGAAGCACCTTGTGATTTTTATCTTGAGAGGCACTATAGAAAAGATCGTTTTCTTTCTTTTGCATTTATTGTCTCCCATCTTTGTGAAATTTGCATTCATATTTGATTGTTCAAAATATGTTTTAAACCTAAAACGACCATAAAGGATGTAGATAGTAAATAATAAGATATTAAAATATTTACTTTTTATAGATTTTTTTAGCCTCATTGCTGCAGCTACTGTGATGTTACAGAGCAATTTTCATTGACATCCTGTGTGTGTGTGTGTGTGTGTGTGTGTGTGTGTGTGTGTGTGTGTGTGTGTGTGTGTGTGTGTGTGTGTGTGTGTGTGTGTGTGTGTGTGTGTGTGTGTGTGTGTTGCTCACATCAAAGGTCTGCCATTTGGGAACATTTTCTCTGTGATTGATGGACCGCTGGAAAACAGCACGTGTGATTTATTTCTACATGACGCCCATGGACAACAGTGGTCGACCTGATGAGTAACCCTTATGCTTCTCTTACCTTCTCGGAAGCTGAGGGTGACTTCTGCTGACAAGTGCATGAAATATTTACCAGCTTGTCCTTGTTTTGATGAGAATATCCTATGAGTACAATTTTTAGATGTATTTTGTTTCTAATCAGCTCCCTCTGACCTGGATTGAAATGTTTTAAACAAACTCCTCCTTGGTAGAGGAACTTAAAATAACTTGTTTTAATAAAGGCAGATTCTTTTCTTCTGTGTTTTAAGGCAAATGGTGTATGATCCAGAGGATCCCAGATGTGCTCGACTCACACTAACAGGCAAGATGGTGGAGGTGGCCCCGGATGAGCTCGCTTGTGGAAGAAGGCAATGTTCTCGAGGTAACGGAGCTGCAAGCAGCTGTAGTGGGATGAAGCAACATTTAGTTCATATGTAATGAGATGTTTTTGGTTTTTATTTGAGAGTAGACATCCTGCAATGGCAGAGTGGCCAGTGGGACATAAATGGTTCTTTATGAAGATGGATTTGATTCAAGTCTGGCTGCAGGACTGACTGGGGGAGTATTACTCTTTCCACTGGAGGATTATTTCAAAACTGTGCCTTTCTGAGGTCTCATCGCCTTGTTTCATTGTGACACAGATGCAATTTCTTATGATGCGTGAATGTACTTATAGTTAAATTCTCAACTGAACTACCATGTGTTACAATCTTTGTATTGTCTGTTTTAAGAATTTGCACTAAAATGGAACTAAAGCCCCTAATGTATTTGTAATTTATCACACCTAATTTGCATTCTACTCATTTCCTTTTTTTATATTCATTCCAAATATTTTAATGAGAAAACCTATTTAAGATGATGATTAGATAGTTAAGAAAACTGTACATCTGTATAATTTAGAAAACAATACCTCAATGTTCATTTTGTGATTTTTGAGTGTTTATCATTTTGTCCTAATAAGATATCATTTTTATTTATTTAATATAAGTTTAAATTCATACTTTCTTGGACCCGACCGATATATCGGCCAGCCGATATTATCGGCCGATATTGGGGTCAATAACAGTATCGGCTATCGGCCAAAAAGATGGCCGATATGGCCGATATTGCGCTACCTATCCAGCAGATGGCGCCAGCTTTACGAACTCATGTTGTGTGGCTCCACCCCTTTGAACACAAATTATTGTTTTGAAACTTTTTTAAAAATGTATTCTTATTTATGTTTCTTATGTGCAATTATTTCCGGTCCAGGGTGAATAAGTTCACCAAGTTAACTTCCTCAGAGTGTTACTTTGTTACAAAGCACAAGTATTACATTTTATTTATTGCTGCATTTTTATTATTTTAATATTCTTATAGGGATCTTCTGTCCCTGAACTTGTGTGTTGTTAGATTCCCCAGAGTTAGCCAAGTCAGAAAAAAACAGTTTGTAACCAGTTGTTTTAGCATAAAGCAATGGAAGGGAAGGGCTGCATTCATAAAAAAAACACCACAATGTATGTGAATTCACTTACATTGTTTTATGCTAAACTAAGAAAACCAACTGCTGCCAGATCATATTGGACTGGTTATAAAATGTTTTTTCTGATTTTTCTAACTCTGGGGAATCTTAACAAGACACAATTTTACTGAGTGGTGCAATATTCCTTTAAGTTAAAATGTATTTGTGGAAACCACAGTTTACAAGAAAAAACTTGAATGCTAGATTTATGCTGTGACTGAGTTTGTGTGTTCTGTTGTTTTTGAGATCTGCAAAATAAATCTTATTTGCATTACTTGGAAACCCTAATGTGTTATTAAGACAGTTCTTTGGTGTGTAATAGAGAAATAAGTTTGCATCAAGAAGGCAGGCAAAGAATGAAGGGTTTAAGCTTAAGAATTTTTTTAATTATTTCTTTTGTGTGAGGGAGATTTATCGGCCATTATATCGTTCCCAAAAATAGCATATCGGTCGGGCCCTAATACTTTCTTCAAGAGCTTGAACATGTTTAACTAATTAAGTAAATCTGTTTTAAAAAAATCTCATGTAAACTTTGAGTAAAATATTTATAACTAAGTGATATCTAACACCACTAATAATATATCATTTCACACTAAGTGTTTTACTGCCATGCTGTTCTTCGTATTTTATATTTTTCTATTGCTTTTTATTTGTTTGATAAACTGGAAATAGTGTTTTTGTGTTTAAAAATAAATTTGACAGCATAAAATGGCTCACTGATAAAGATGAATCTTGGTGGAGAAAAAGTTTTACCAGCTTTTTGAGTGTAACAGCAATACAGCACTTGTAAGTAAATAATTATTTGTAAAAAAAAGTTTGGAGAATACATTTTAAAATATCGTGAAATAAAATGATATGCGTTGACTAAAGGTACATTTTGAACAGATCTTTACTGTCCACTAGGTGATGCTCTCCTACATTAATTGTAATAAGGTGAAAGGCTTTGGGTGATGCTTTTCTACAGTAATTATAATGAGGTGAAAGGCATTGTGAAAAATAGAAGTTACTTACTCGAAACTTCTAATAATTTTACCGGGATATGACATCATTTAAAAACCTGTTTTTAGAAGTTGCAGCAGATACATTATTTAATTTAGAATAAATATAAAGTTTTTGGTTCAATGACCACAGGAAATGTCAATTAATTGAAAACACTTTCAAAATAAAAAATCCATTTACATTTGAACTTGGTTTCATTGAGATTTTGTTTAATTTAAATGACTTGTCTTTGGCTTCACTTTTATTTGGAAAAGTTCACACCGGAAATGAGCGACGTGACAGGTGAATGCGTTAGTTACAGAAAACGTTACGTGTGGACTTTGTATTATGTATGGAAACAGTGGTGTGTGAGCTTTTTTTCGGATTTAAGTTGACAAAAGTGGAAAAACATTAAGAGGCAAACTACTGGGAGGGAAAAGGAGGTCCTATTTTTTTCTAGATTAGTGACGGCAGATTGGCAGATCCCCGGTTCAGAGCAACGGACGCAACGGAGTTCCAACTAATGTTAGCTTGGTAGCTAACTAGCTAATATCTGGCCGCAGGTCGACTAGGTTAACTGGTAATACTTGCTTCAGCTAGTTAACGGCACGTTGGTTTTCACTGGCATTCCGTTTTTATATGTTATCAATTGAAGCGGAATCAACGTGATTTGAGCAGGCGTAGCCTCCCGGACGCCGTCAGAGCAGCCTATCCCAGAGGATCCACCGTCACAGACTTGAAATGCGTGTTAACTTGTAGCTAACGTTTATGAGTATTACAATGGGCCATATGGTCATTTTGGTTGCTCTGTCTTGACCGGTCATGTAAGCTATTTCGTCGAGACAATTAGTTCACTTGTGACTCCTCGTCGTAGGACAGACCGAAGAGCACATTTAAGCCGTCCGCAAAGACAGTGGGTGACCGCAGCTGAGGTTACATCTGAGCGGTCGTCTCACTGCTGAGAAGCCCGTGTTCACACTCTGTTAACTGGCATAGTTTTTATCGTTGACGCGCCCTTATGTCTGCGCCTACGCCCGCCTCAACAACATCCTGAAGGTAGACAGGCGGACGGAGAGAGGGGAGGGAGGCAGGCAACGGCAGCTTCGGGTTCCCCGACACTCAGCCGAGACGAGGCATCGCTGAAATGAGATGAGGCTCAGAAATGGAACTGTGGCCACTGCACTCATCTTCTTCACGTCTTTCCTCAGTCTTTCCTGGTACACGGCATGGCAGAACGGCAAAGGTAGGTCTTACATCAATGGACTGATTATGAAATCACTAGCTCTGGAGCTTACATGTGTACACACACACACACACACACACACACACACACACACACACACACACACACACACACACACACACACACACACACACACACACACACACACACACACACACACACACACGTCATGCAGAGAACCACTGGGAGAAATACAAAATAACCTTAGAAATACAACCTGATCTTTTTTTAGGGGTCTCAAAACCGTGTACATGCAGTAATGCCCATCTCTTACTGGCAATTCAGCTTTATTTTTTCTCTTTAGCGTTTTATTTTCTTCAGTTTTTGATTTTCTTATATATAGTTTTGCACCTCTTCCTTTTTTCCTGATGTCATTGAACTGCCATGATTTTATTACTTTATTTTGTTTCCTCACATTTAGGAAAGGTTGTGTCTCTTTGGATCACCTTTTAGTTTATTTGTTTTTGCAACTTTTGACGTTTTTGTTTCATTTCCCATTTCTATTTTAATGCTCTTCTTGTAGATTTATGCACATGCCCTGAGCTTACTCCCAGTTGTAAAGAGCAGGGTTGTTACAAGCTTGTAAAATCCTTTAAAATGCATGAAACGTAATGTGTTTTAAAGGTTGTGAAACTGGTTGAATCGAACTGATCCTGTAAGGAGCTGGAACATCTTGACAACTCATCTTGAAAGGGCTTGAACTGAATTTAGTAAAGGTGTTAACCCTTAAAGAGGAATCGGATCCCTTCAGCCTCTGGGCTTGTGCTCATTTTGCACTTAAATTCCTTTTGTAAATGGCAATTGAAATAATTACATAAATTAAATCTTTATAGTTTAGAGAAGAAAATCCATTTTCAAACTTGGTGTAGTTGTTATGATGTTAGACAGCAGGTGTTAAAGTTTTATACAGGGAATTAAGGTAAACAGGAAGCTTACATTATGCAGAGGAACAATAGTAATGACCAGATGTCTTTTTGCTCAGTTTTATGGTTCAGGTCTTTCCTCTTTTATGACTGACCTCTCTGAATACCTCAGTCAGTTACTGTAAGAACAGGATATTTTTCATCAGCAACAGGTTGTACTGGTCAGTCTGTTTCACTATCAACCATTCTGTTCCTCGCTTAAACTGTATTGTTCAACAGTGTGTTAACTATGATTACATGTATATTTGCATGTCCTGTACACATCTGGACATGGATATCTGTGAGTCATTTTCAGTTGTGGCTGGATCAATGAGGTTACTAACAGTATTTGTAAAGACGATTATGGGCCTTGGTGGCTTGTTATCAGCAGGGTGTAAATAATTGCAGCCTTTAGATAAATTCCAAGGCAAGTCTTCATGTTGTGATTTCTCAGAAGCTTATCAGCTTGATGGAATATTTTCCATTAAATGGAGTCCAATGAGTTGCAACACTGAATCAAGCTGGGAATGGTTAGATTAATGTGTGTGCACAGCAGGCAAAGCTTTAGAGATTATGCCCTTTCTGCTGTCTGTTGCCCCTGTTCATGAGGTATACTGAAACCATTGATATTGAGAGTAGGTACTTGTGCTCCGTTCATAAACAAAACTGTTCATCTTTGATTATACTTTTTAAATCTATTTTTTAAACAAAGTACTTTAACTATGGTGATTTGATATTAAGTATGCTTGTCAGGATTTGAAAGAGATAGTTTTATAACTCAAGCTTTTACAGTACGTGTAAGATGAAGTACCATCCTAGTTTTGTTCTAATGAGTAGCTCTGATAATAAAACTGGACAAGTCAAGAAACAAATCTAGAAAGTGTTTTATTTTTTATTTTTTTTAACCCGTGGGTTTCCTATGAAAATATCTGAAATCGTTTTCAGTTGACTCTACCTAATGCAATTTATCATTGAAGAACACACAACAGTAAGTGTTTGTGCCATTCATCACTTATTTACTGCCCTCATTTTACTTTAACCAGTTTAAACCCCATTCTGGCCTATCCATCATACCGTTATCACTAATCCATTCCGGATTGATCAGCATCAAACTCGAGCAATAAGTTGACTCTCTCCAACATGATGAACCTTATACTTTCACGGATGCTGTCATAAAATCTACTGTGCACAGAGTCCTGAGCATTACTCTCAGTTCTGTTTATGGGTTATATGAGTGTACATAGCTGTCAGTTTTAAATCAAACAGTCCCCTTGTGAATAATAATAAAAAATACCTTGAACCCTTGAAGTGAAACAGTGTGAAGTGAAAAGTTGCACTTCCGCTGTCAACACTCTTGGTTTGAAAAGGTTTTCAGTAGGGCTGCACAATATATCGAAAAATTATCGTCATCGGGATAACAGGACGTGCGATAGGCCCATCGCAAAACACGCCAAAAATGGCGATAAATGGTTGGTTCAAACATTTCCATCCATGTCATACATCAGCTTTTTTTAAACCAGCTGTTTTTTGCGCGGAAGTATTATTTGACCAATCAAATGTAGCCCTTCTGATATGAGGCCAATCAGATGAGTCTGTTCACGTAAAATGCCCGCTTCCTACGTAGACCCTTAGAATGGAACGCAACACCCGAACTGAGTTAGCGGCGCGCCGGCGCCGTTCCTTTGTTCGTCATGCTGGCTCAGAGCAACAAACGCACTTTGTGCTGAGGTTTCTGGAATCAGCGTTGCTTTCAAACATGAACGTGAGTCCGCTTGGTGCCGTTAATCATTTTTACCAGGCTGACTCCGACACGTGCTGGTGAACCAACCCACCTTCATGTCCCTAGTGTTGCACCGGGTGGTGATGTTAGCCCCAGGCTCCGGTTAGCTTCCAGCTAAAAGGCTACAGCACTCTCCTCCCAGTCCCACCCTGCTAAAGAGGGCCTGGAAAAGTTTCCCCACACATCAAAGTGATTTTTCATTTATGAGCATTTATAACCTTGTTAATCAGGATAGTTGATTTGCTGCTGCACATAAACTGTCAGTCAGAAGCTCTGCAAGCCGGTTATCTTAAGAGGAGCTAGTTCAATTTGTTAGCTTGTTATCAGAATCATAGTTGCAGTTTCATCATCTGAGCTGCTTTTTAAGATCTAGGTAAACTTTCCAATTTGGGGTTAAAACCAAACGTTTTCACATATTTTTCATGTAGTTTTTTGCTAGTTCCTCTTCTGAATGGTAGACAATTGTTTTTCTCTCCCTCAAAAAATCTCCAAAGTTTGGCCCAGCACAGATCACTTTCCAATAGCAGCAACAGCCTTATATCATAACCACCTAAGTGGAGAAAATGTTCAGTAGCAATGAGAGAATTTGCTGTTGCATTTACGTGATGTTAAGTATTATTTAACATTTAAACTTATTTTTCAGATTTTATTTCTTCAAAAAACCCTGGTAAGGGATGTTTTTCTGTATTTGGAGCATCAGAAAAAGTTTTATGGTGGGGGTGATGTTATAGAGTCACTGAGAAACTGCATGCATGCAGTTTGTTGCTTTGCTGCTGATACAGTAGCAGGTGCAGCTGCATAATTTTTCAATAAAAATGTTATGTTGTAATGGAATTCATGCATTAGTTTTTGTTTGCTTTGAACCCAGAGCAGACGTCACACGCCAGATGACATCAACACTGCATACTTTAGTATTTGTTCAGTTATCGTAAGTAATATCGATATCGCAATATTAAGCACTGTTATCGAATATCGCAGGTTTTCCTAATATCGTGCAGCCCTTTTTTTGAGCTTCGCTACAGCAAAGTCAATGAGAGCAAAGAGGCGTTCCTATGATCTCACTTATTTACAGACAATGTATCCAACAGAGGCTGGGAAATTATTTACTCAGCCAAGTTTTAAAATGGTTATTTAATCTTGTGTAGAATAGACATACTTTATCACTTCAGCATGGAAAAAATATTGATATACAGTATTTATACTATCTAAAGCAAATAATAATAAATCACTAGAAAAAGTTTGCTTCTTTAAATGTTTTATTACTCTATTTTCTAAATGTGTTGACCGTAAATATTTGAAAACCTGACTAAGAATTATAACACTGAGCATTGTTGTGTAAGCTAGGATGTAAATCCTAGTCTATGGCCTTTGAAGACTCATTTTTCACCTGCGTCACATTCAAATTGTGCTCTTGGCTTTAGATTTCAGATTCCATGTTTTCTTTTGTATTTTTGTTTGATCTTAGCAGACTTTCTTTTTAATTTGTCTTTTCTACTTCGCCAGTTATAGGTGTGCCGTTGTTTTGCGTCATTTTGAAAGTGTGACTTTTTAAAGCTTTACAAATATCGGGTACATGAAATCTGTGTATTTAAAGGGACTTTACGGAGTTTTGAATTTTTATGCTCGCGATTGCCCCCTCAGGCCAAAAGCATAACGGCAGCATCAATAGTAGGCTCGTGCACGAGGCGCGCATGCTGTACATGCACACTCCTTAACGAAAATAACAGCTGAGACAGTCCCGTGTGTTTGTGTGTGTGTGTGGCCCGGAGGACAGAGGGCAGGAGAACGTGCAGCTAATTAATTAAATAATTTGGTTGACCAAGGTTTAAGATGGGTCAGTCTGTCAGCTTCACAGAGCTTCCCTTCCCTTGCTTGAAAAATTGTTCCAAAATGAAAGTTGAACCCACATCTTTTTTTATCTTTGAATTCAAAGCCGTTCGGCGAGTCTCAAATAAAAATTTGGGCATCTTAATGTAAAAAAATACACCATTAATGAAAAAAATAAACTCTAAATAAATTTTGTTCACATCCAGAATCGAACCCGTTTTTTCTGCACGAGAGTTCAACGTTTAACTAGGTGAGCTAAAGGGCCAGTCACGTCTTTTGTATCTGTAACTTTTATATCCTTGATGACACATGAAACAACGTTCAAAGAACGGTTGGGAGCGAAAATGGCTATTTTGTTGCTAATTTGCAGGAAATATCTAGAAGAAAGTAGCTAAGGGTCCTCAGAAATGTAGCTAGGTTCATCACTAGGCGTTAGTAACAGCGACAAAGTCGCTGAGTTGGCACTACCTCGCTCTCTGCTGCTAAAGCTA